TACTAAAAATTGTCGAAAATTGGTCTTCAATAATTTTTTACTCAAATACTATTAACTTTACAGAAAAACTGTAAGAGACAAAAATTATTTATTTCTTCTCATAAGGTTCTTACAATTTTTTCAGAATTTTTTCAAAATTTTTTAATACCGTATTTTCTCATGGTAAAAATAAAAAAATGCAGTACTAAAAAGTTGATAAAAAATTCTGAAAAAATTCTTAGAGCTTTATGAGAAGAAAATAAACAATTTTTGTCTCTTTCAGTTTTTCTGTAAAGTTGATAGTATTTGAGTAAAAAATGATTGAAGACCAATTTTCGAAAATTTTTAGTAATTAATATCTTGTTAACTATTGCGAAAATTGTAAAATGATAGAGGACTTTTTTTCTCAGTTTAGTCCATTCTGCCCCTATGCGAAAGATTTTTCATTACTTTCCAAACATCCTGTATATATATGTATGACATATTTATCTTTTCAACTATAATTTTATGCTTATGTTACGTACTTGTTATATTTTGTTACTTGTTATGTTTTAGGTATGTATGTGTGAGGATAATTATCTTTTCCTTGGTTCTCGACTTGGTAATTCGTTACTTTTACGATTCACGGAGAAGGAACCGGAAACTTCGAAAAATTTGAATGACAGTGAGATTACCATTGAAGAAAATGAGAGCGAAGAAACTCCAGCCAAGAAAACGAAGCAAGACTTTCTTGGTGATTGGATGGCATCAGATGTATTGGATATCAAAGATCCAGAAGAACTGGAAGTGTATGGCAGTGAAACTCATACATCCATTCAGATTACTTCATATATTTTTGAGGTATCAGCAAGTTTTCCTATTCTATATGTATCCTCTGTTTTATGTGTTAATTTCAATAATAGTGTAAGAAAATTTAAAAGAAATAGGCACAACAGAGAAGCTATCAGCGTTAGGGCTGTGTGGCTCAGTGGCAGGACGGAAGTCATTTCGGAGACCAGGCCTCGGTTCGCATTTCGGAACGCCCTGATATTTTTCTCGTGTTGTTGCTTATTTCTTACAATAGTTTATCTATTCTGTGCTATTCTTTACAATTAATGTTTTACTCATAGGTATGTGATAGCTTATTGAATATTGGACCATGTGGAAATATTTCAATGGGAGAACCAGCTTTCCTGTCAGAAGAATTTCTACAAAATCAAGATCCCGATGTAGAACTTGTAACAACATCTGGATATGGAAAGAATGGTGCACTTTGTGTACTGCAACGTTCTATACGCCCTCAGGTAAATGATATGAGATTTGATCTCGGATGGTTCTTTTAAAGATATACAGTGTTGGAAGTCATAATTATATAATAGATATGTGTATACACACGCGCGCGCACACACACACGCACACACACACACACACACACACACACACACACACACACGCACGCACGCACGCACGCACATCTGCATGTCTTCTAATAACATATTTATGTATTAATATTCTTGAGGCTTCCATGGGTGCTTCCTATATGAAAATCATGCGTTTCGTGGGTTTTCTCCGTATCCAGATCCATTCTTGGAGTACCAACGTTTCGTGAACCTTGCAGTTCACTTCATCAGGACGAGGAGCAGCCTAATACTACTGTTCTTCCGTTTCCTTTATACGCTGCTTTTTGGAATGATAACAGAATCGGGCTGCTCCTCGCCCTGATGAAGTGGACTGCAAGGTTCACAAAACATTGGCATTCCAAGAATGGATCTAGACACACAGAAAACCCGCAAAACCCGCATGATTTTCATATTTATTATGTATTATATATATATGTATTTGGAAACACGTTAGTGTCTCGGCGCTAAGCAAGCGTCATGGCGCGAGACACTGCTATGCTCCTTTACGTGAGCCGGTGAGTTGCGATATATCTTGCACATAATTCATAT